ATTTGCTGATGGGTCCCCCAAATCGTTATCATTACCCCTTCTACTGGTTAAATAGTGCCTTGTCATAGTGACCCGGCGTGTGCCCCTGCGACACTTGCTCAAGGCTTTATTTAAAATGTTAGTAGTGAATCTTTTTGTGCGCCTTGAGTGCCATTATGGGCATATATTATTATGTGCGCTATACAAATCTTAAATTATTATTATTATTATTATTCACCAAAGATGTAGAGTGAGAGTTATGATTGCAACTCGGTTTTAGATTAGGTTTGTGGTCAGGACTAGGTGTAGCCTAATGCTTGGTCCAAGGTTGAGGTTAGGAACGTGTTTTGTGTAGGATGATGACCGCGGAGCAATTGTCACCGGAACAACCATTGTCATTTAACCAATTTCATCAAGGGCTTATGTGTTTTAACCGTTTGTTTTATAACTTTATATCTTGTTTTTTATTCAAAATATAGATGACACATGTCCTGAAGAATGGGATGTTTTCCAAGGCTCATGTTACCGGCTCTATATCAACTCAGAAGCACGTACATGGAACGAGGCAGAACTGGAATGCCAGGAGAACCCTAAGGGTCATCTAGTCAGCATTCGAGATCAAGACGAGATGGTCTTTCTACATTATATGATCTCTTCCCAATGGGAAGCGACAGAGACCGAGACGTATATAGGAAAGTATTGGTGTACCTAAAAGTGTCCAGTTTGCATGTGGCACTTTAACATTTAACACTCATTATACGGCTTTACGCAGGGTCGCATTGGGCAGCGTGACTCAGATCACGGTTGTTACTGATTGCGAAACTTTCTCGTAAACGGAGAGTATCCATTGTCCTCCAATAACGACCGTCTCTCTGACTGTTCAATTGACCCATCTTGACTCTTCGTGCATTGTGCAATTGCGAGCTCTTCAGGTATTAGAAAATTATTGTCAAGATTGTTGAAACATGGTCGTGCAAGCAGATCTTGCAAGAAGGGTCCCAAATGGATCAATCGTATTGCGTCTCTGCTGCTCAGATGATGTAAATGTCTTTATTTTATTACAGATTAGCAAAGCATTTTTCGTTTTAGGAGGCAAATCTATAAACCTATGAAAAAATTTAACGACTGAACCGTTTGCACATTTTGATCGTAGGTCTCGGCAGAAGAGATGAACGTGGAGTTTTCTATTGGAATGACGACACCCCTATGTCTTACACAGATTGGTACCATCCTCCTCAGTAAGTCACGTGATGGAAATTATTTTATCGCATTAATTTGTGATATTTTAAACCTTATTTTTTTCTTTTATAAATGTAATTTATAAAATTTCAATTATATAAAAATATTTGTGGCTTCTTTCTGACTTGTTTTTTCAATACGGATCGATCAATCGATCTTATTTACTGGGTGTAAGCCACTCATTTTTCTTGTATCCTGTTTAACAGCTAACTTTGGGAAATTTAGTACTTATTATTATCATCACAAAGTAAATATTAGTATTTATTTTCCTGAATTTTATTCATTTTCAGAATCATTCCTGTGATTCAGCTCAGTATTCTTTGTAGGATATAAGGATGACGTTTGAACAATTTTCTTGATTAGTCAGCGAAATAAAGTCTAAAGCGCATAACGAACCACGAGGTGCCGGTGTACCAAAGCATCCCATGTACACATTATTTGGAACAATAATCTTCTCGTATTGCTTCTTACATAATATATTGTTAGTAGAATCACGCAGAAATGTGTATTTTGGCACGTGCATGTTTTGATAAGTGGAAGATTTTAAAACCTATTTTCGTATTAAAAGTTGCATTCTAAAATTAGCTGATCGCTAGAATAACGGAATTATTAATTTGACTGCATTTCTATAAACCCCTAAAACATTGTATTTTTGTTTTAATTTGCAGAGGAACGGTAGGTAACAGGCAGCCTAATGGAGGTTTACTTGAAGCATGCACAATGCTAGTCTTCGATTCAGCCACTTCGACAGATCTGTCGACCAATCTCTGGCATGACGTAGCGTGTGCATCTCCTGAAACGAAGCAGTTCATATGTGAAACAGCAGCATCCGGAGCACTTGGTAAAGCGATTAAATCTAGTCATACATATATGCACCCTCACACACACCCACACCCAGCTCAGTATTCATATATGTAATGTACTTTACCAGAAAATGTATCAAAATGTATTAAACGTAAAATATCACATTCATGCACATGAATACGTATGTTTTAAAAGGTGAGATAGAAAACAATAAATCAATTATCAATTAATTACGGTGCTAATTAGTTCCATGTTTTGGAATGTGTATACAATATCAAAGATGGTGAAGACAAAATTAAGAAGAAAAGTTTCATGGTTTCAAAAGGGTATGAGTATGCTTATAAATAAAAGATACACTGAGACACCCACACACCCACCCAAACACATTTTTGTATGAACAAGACTTGACGCTTATTTGCGCAAAGCCTACGTATTGTTTCCATGCCACATTTTACATGCGGTACAGACTTTATTTTTAACATTTCTCTCTTTAAATTGATATTGCTGATGTACTTTGAAATACAGAATCTGAATGCTATAATAATTATTTTTACTTTGTTTACTATCATGTTTTTCACAGATCTATCAGGGGAATTACGAATAACTTTACCGTCAACAGGTAAAATACTTCTATATGCTTTTTTGTTCTTAGATAGCAAAAAATAGTCATATATGTTTAAATTACATTTGTGATCAATAATTTCGCACTTTCAATTGAAAGCCTTCAAGTGGAATGTGTGTAAAATAACAGAAGTGCTATAGTAAGAACAGTATATTGAATGATATACAACCCATTACGTATACTCATATTTGTAATACGTTTTGTTTTGTACTATTCTTTATGTGCAAATACATATATGCAAAATATTAATGTCACCTCTAAACCCCTGTCCTTTACACCAAACATAGACACCATGCTTTCGTAGTAGATCCGTCCAATTTACCTTGTTTACACTGCATTGACACGCATGTCACATCTTTACTACCGCGCCACTAATGTCCTGTGACAAGACATTGATCTACCTTTGCCACTCTCAACCCAGCTGATGTAAATGTAAAATAAGGAATTAATTACTTGGAATGCTAGAGCGCCGTAATAGCAGCACAGCTAAAGCCGGGGTAATAATCTCCAAGTTTGGAAGCGCTTAGTGATGTTAAAGAGGCATGTTCCCCGTATTCCAGAGGGCGTTCAAAATACGTACCCGCTGGCGGACGGTGCTAGCTGCCTATTGACACCAACAGAATACGGCTCTTACGCAGATGGCATGTTCCGAATGCCCGGACCGATTATCGCATACATGTGCCGAAGTAATGGCAATCGCAGTTCGGCTCTAAGATTCGGCTGCTGTTTCCGCCCACTTTCGTGACGTCGCGATCGTCAGCGATCAGCTGGCTTGGCGAAGGCAGGCCAGGCCGCGCGTACTTTGATTGACAGCTGTATGCAAATTAGAAGTCGATCTTCGGAACCAAGATGGCGATGACTAGAGCAGCGATAACTACACTGGCGGGAACGTGCCACTTTAATAAGCGCTATATTAAAACTGATTATTATTATTACTATTATTATTTTAACAGAAGCTTGTAAGTTAGCCATACTTACATGAAATTGAGTCATCTTCGTTATTACGTATCTCAAGTTCAATTGCACTGTTATGTCCGATAAAGTGAAAATAAACTTGTCACTCTATCAATTCATATAGACTCTGTCAGCAACTGCGGGACTGGACTTTTCCGATGTTCTGCGGGTGAATGCATCAGTAAGGCCCTTGTTTGCGATGGAGTACCGGACTGTTTATACGGGAGCGATGAAGATAGTTGTCAAGAAGGTATAGATCAAATCAAATCAATTCACTTATAAAATCCACGATCTCAAATTGTCATGACTCCATACATATACAATTATTATTGCTGTCTGTAATACTCCTCTGTGGTACGTTGCGGTGTACACAGGTTTTCATTATGACATTCACCACCTTATACGTAGTACCAGGAAGCACTAAAAACCATCAAGATCAGTATTTTAAAAGGAAGGAGCCCGGGGACAACTTAGGATAAGGATATCTAAAATGTATCCCTGGAGTCTAAACTCCTGTCTGTAAGAGTGTCGAAATATTGACACTCTTTCTTTCGCATTCATATTGAAATTTAGCACTGAAAGAAATTGATAATTGAGGAACAACGTCTGCAAAGAATTATCAAAAGTGAATGAGAATGATTACTCGATTTGAGGCAAAAGATATTTGACTGACTGATAATATTTTACTTTTTCTTTTCTGATTCAGTTTGTATTTCTGATCAGTTTCGATGCAGTGACGGGTCATGCATATCAATATCCTTCTATTGCGACTCCATCCCGCATTGCCAGGATAACTCGGATGAAAGCGAGTGTGGTAAGTGAGAAAATTTGTTTTTCTTTTAAGCCAAATTAATGTTCCCACACGCCGATTGTTATTATAATTATTATTATTATTAATTATGTGGTGGTGGTGGTTATTTTACCTGACTGCTAAGAAAGCATAAATGATTGTGGGTACGAAACCAGATGGCCGACGGCTTAAGGTCCTCTCCTAGGGACCTGGCAATGAGGATTAATGCAGCTTTATGCCTTACCAAAGGGCACTAGCCAATCGACTTGGTTTCGAACCCGGGTCACCGGATTACGAGACCACTCGATCTCGCTGTCAAAGCCTTTAGGTAAGATCTCCGCTTATATTAGGCCTTCTGTCGATCAAAAAAACATTAGGTCCAGTTCCCTTCCCAACAAAGTCATGTAAGAACATAGGACTGCCAGAGGTATAAAAGAATGCAAGCAATACCTGTCCGGTAAACCCGGGGTTGAAGGCTTAAGAAAAACAAAATCGCCTAATTGTTTTCAATCACGGAACGGGGGCGGTAACCACTATAATTTTCTTATAAAAATACAGCAACTACAGGTATAATTTAGATCGAATTTAACTTTGTTTTTCTTTCAGCCTTACCGCCTTGTACTGAAGATGAGTTTGCATGTGACAATGGTCAGTGTATACCAGTTGGCAAGAGATGTGATTTCATCAGCCATTGTTACGATGCATCAGATGAAGATGGATGTGGTAATAAATTATATTTCAAATAATAGGAATTTGTTGGTGACTCTCTGTAGCCATGCAGGCCCTATTTTATCACATTTATGTCAATCTGGTGTTAATTGGTTCTAGGTGTAGATACGATATTTTAAAGTTTTTAGTCTTTGGTCTTATTTGTCCGAAGTTCCCTATGATGGTGACAGGGGGCAGATCTTGTCAACTTCAAACTATTCTAACGACGTAAGGCAAAACTATTGTAATGCTGTAAAACTATTCTATTCTAGATAGTTGGGCAATTTTTTGGTCAACTTCAAACTATTCTATTTATAAGGGGAAGAATTCAAATTCTACCCTCCACACTTTTGTGGCACCATGAAGACCAGCAGCACAAATACAGTTGTAGCTGAAAATGGGCTACCAGCCGTATGTTGTCCTTTTCTCTCTGTATGATTACATTGTATGCATTTCATCTGATTTTATATTACGGAACAAACACATCAAAAACACTATCATAATAGAAGCCCAAGCACAATTTTATGCTATTCTATCCCCTTTTCCCCCGACACAGTGTTGGAGCTTTTTCATTCTGCCTTCCAGTGCTACGACGGTTCGCTTTTTCCAAGGCAGGTTCATTGTGATGGTGTGATCGACTGCATAGGAAATACGAACGAGGATGAATCCGAGTGTGGTGAGTATCACTCTGTGATCTCATGAGTTTTTGTCTGGGGCTATCGTTTTACCAAGCAATCTGCTTACAATGACACTCCTTCTTCCGCAAATAATTTTATAATGTGTTATAATGTTTGAGGAAATATAGTACTTGAGACGGTTTATCATTTCGTTTTGAAAATAACAGTTTATATATATGTAATTACTAATTTATGATTCATTGTCAGTAAAATACTTATTGTACTTTATATTACTGTTATCGAAAAACTGTAAACTTACATGAATGCAGAAGAAAATCAAATCAAATAAAATAAAATAAAATCACCAAACCCAATCCGAATTACTTCGACCCGGACAACTACTGAGTATTTAACCTGGTCAAAGAGTGTGGTTTTCATCTTAGATACAAACAAAAATCATCCAGATTCTAGTTGTAGAGTAAATAATTGTCTGCATTACTGATCAATGTTACATTTATATTGATCCTACTTGAAAATGTATTATAGGAGAGGCGAGATGGTCTTTAGATAAAGCATACTTTTCACCGTAATGACTTTCCCAAAGTTTTACCCTATTATAAAAATGATAGCCTACATTGTGCATCATTAGACTAATAGCCTGTACCGGTTTACTAACATATTAACATATTTATGTATGTTTCTTTCTTGGAGACCTTGTGACGAGTAATTCCTTTAACCTGTTATCAATGAATGAACTGCAATACTCGGAATCCAGTCTGCATACATTATTTTTGCTATGTCGGGCGAGCCTCGGGTAAGCTTTCAATTTGTCAAGAACACCCTTTGCTTAAAAAGTATGAACACATTTGAAAATGTTAAATTCGATTTATTGGCCCAATTAAATGTTTCGATTATCCACTTCTTTTGCACAGCTTATAGCACTTCGGGTGACGCCTGCGATTTGGCTACAGATATCACGTGCAGTAACGGAGCATGCGCGTCACACACAACACGGTGTCTTCATGAACTAGATGAATATGGCTTCTTCACCGGATGTCGTGACGTCACACATTTAAGAGCCTGTGGTAGGCGCCATTTTAATTTCAATGATGTTCAGTATTTACGAGTGTTAAAATGCTTAATCTAAACGCTTTATAATTTATTTTCCTTCGTTTTTGGCATCATGATAATTTTGTATTTAAGTTTAACGACGATTTTGAAGTTTATGGCTTTTTTTTATCAGTTTAATAAGAGTCATGGTTTTCAAGAGTTCATTTACAGCTGTAGTGAGAACTCAAATTCAGTTATGATGAATACAAGACAGATTAAGTAAAGGAAGAAGGGCTTCATGCTTTTTTTCACAGGAATTCACAGGTCATGTTTACACATTTTCATTGCTATTTGTGTCACACATATTATGCAACAGCGCATATCACACATTGTTCTCAATTAACATCCTTTAAATATTCATTTTGTACAGGTAATTTTGAGTGTCCAGAGTCATACCTGAAGTGCCCCTCTTCTTACTGCATCCCCCTCCGATATCGATGCGACGGAAAAATGGATTGCCCCTCCGGAGAAGATGAAGCCTTTTGCGGTGACTTTGGTTTAACGATTTTCATTAGATCAGATGGAGGGATTCAATTTATAATAAGATGTGTATACACTAGTCGATTGGGAATTTGAAAGAAATTCGCAGTAACAGAGCCACAGTTAAAGATTGCAGAAAGATATTGACATGTTGGGTTGAATGATGGCATTGAATTTGGGGTTCGAATTCGAGAACTTAAAGTTTTCTTTTAACCTTTAATTACGTCGTAGTTGTATAGCCCGAGCTCTAAGTATGTTGTGAAACCAGTTTTTTTAGGTCTATTCTTTGCTATTTTTTCAAATCAATTTAACAGTTTCTTAGGTCCATGAAAGAAAACGAAAAGAATGTTGAAGCCTTTGGTATTTGTATCCCATGATAAATGCTAGCTGGCACATGGAGATTAATTATGTGGCATATAAAGAGTTAATGTATTTTTCTGTTTTATATCTCCGAATTACACCCCTGCATAAATCGAACGTAGATGAGTATGAGTGCCCGGGTGGATCATACCGATGTCATAGGCAACACTATTGTATCGCTCTTGATCACGTGTGCGATAAAAACATACACTGTCCCGAACAAGACGATGAGGAATTCTGTGGTATGTTATATTTATTATTTTGGTGGTAATTACACAAATGAACATATGGTATCATCCATACTTCTGTACAGCACATTACTTGTAATTTGTATGGTATTACATTAGGCTTGTGTACATTGAAGTTACAAATTCAAACCACTTGATCTTTCAACAACGATATAACAACAGCATCAACGACAGAATAAATCAATAAATCAGTGAATATTGATCAAGTAGTATTGATTCGGGTAAAGTAGTCAATGTGGTAAAAAAAAAATGCCTTGCAGTACATTAAAAACTTACATCACTACACACACAAAAAAACTCTTAAAAGAAAATGAAAATTTGTTAATGTTGGCATGATTGGTATAAAAAAAAGAAAGAATGGTAGTATACACGATTCGTTTAATGTGTAAAAAATACCACGACATAGTCAAGTAAGATACTGCCATTACATTATACTTTTAATAATAGAATGACAATATAAATTTACATTTTCAGGAAATAGTAAATTAACTTCATTACTTGTATTTTGAATTAACATGTTAATGGAGTGGATTTTGTTTTTCCAAAAGGTCAATGCCCCCAAGGCTGTGAGTGTGATGCTCTATCCTACTCCTGTCGCCCGGACCAGGTGGATCTAAGGCTCCTTCCCCGCCAGCTCAGAAAATTGTAAATAATTTATAATATTAATATACAGTCAAACCTGTCTATAGCGACCGCCCAAGGGAAACACAAAAAGTGGTCTTAGTAGATAGGTTCCTTTAGTACATGTTTCAATGAGAAACTATTTTCAAGGGAAACAAAAAACATGGTCTTTATAGACAGGTAGTCAATTAAGCAGGTTTGACTGTATTTCACTTGATTTTATTTACAAGGTTATGCACTTAAGTACACGCAATTGTGGTAGGTAATATTTGAACTGATTTATTTGTCTGAAAAGATGAAATGTTAAAATGTATGGTTTATGAGCAGTTATAAAACACTAATAATAATATGTCTTGTTTACCCAGGGTAGTCTCATCATTCGTACTGTTTTTCCTGAGGGCCCTGCAATCATATTATTACCCCGGTCATCGGATTCAGGCTTACCCGCACACAATGTATGCTCATTCTCCACTCCCTCGGGAGCATTCCAGCTAGGCGTCATTTTTAAATGCGCACACTTGCTAATCTAAGCACATTAGCTTTCGCATCCTACCGGGTACCCATTTAACACCTGGGTGGAGAGTGGCAAATGTAGATCGATGTCTTGCCAAAGAACATAAGTGCCGCGTTGGGACTTGTCACAGTCCAGTGTCATATCCACTCGTCCACGACACCTCTACAACATATCAAATAAATGCTTAAACAACTCTTTCATAAAAATGAACTGATTTGATTTGACTCGGAGCTTATTGCTTTATGTTAAGCATGAAGACAAATCTGATGAAACCTAGTGTGTGTTTTTTTTTTTAATTCATTCCATGTCGGTGTCCATTTTTTAAAGTGCTGGTGTACTCAGGCATTGGAACAAAATACGTTTAGTCCATAAACTCTCCCTGTTTGTGCAGTGTAGACTCATCCATGTACCAATCATCTTCTTTAGATCTCTGATCTGTGACGAACTAGATGGACCGTGCAATTCATCCTTAAGTATTGTGACGAATGATGACATCACAGAAGGGACTAGTTATCAACTCATGCCCCTGATGATGCCCTATTTGATTTCTTTGTAAGTATCTGTTTGATTTTGTTTATAATTGATTTTTCTTTTGTGTATAAGTGTTTTAGGTTATTTTTTCTTAAACTTAAGCAAATGATTTCCAGTGGGTCTGGGCCAAACCAAATCCACCTCGATTCCAATACGAACGATTCTTGGTCACTGCTGGTATAACCTTTTTTGTTCGGTCTGTGGGCGATCTCGTTGGTGTAACTGAGGTATCTTATATTCCGGATTATATAAATATTTTTGTATAATTTCTTTTAAAATTATAATTATTACTTTTTACTGTTACGATAATATTAATATTGTTATTATTATCATTATTGTTATTACTATCATTATTACTATTATAATCATAATTTTTGTTGCTAGTATATAAAACCAATATCACAACGAAAATGCATTGCGAAGCAATGTGCGATATGTCATTTCCTGTTCTTTTTTGTTTTAGAGACTTAATGACGATACAAAAAGAGCGTAACTACTTTCGTTTATGGTTTGGTTTACCAGCCCGATACAGAAAATTGGACATACCGGTTTTATTTTGTGAATTAATTACAGGTGCTTGGAAGCATCTTCTCTGGAAGAAATTCAACAAGGTTCATTTCTGGAAAACAAAAATCTTTTGAATTTGTGAGTATGTAGGCCTACCTTTACGACCCTGTGTATTGTGTACTAGAGGTTTTATTTCTAGTGAGAAGTTCGCTTTAGAGCCATAGTAGTGCTCCTAATGAATTTCCGGGTAATGATCGATAAATCTACCGGATATGCAGGAGGCAAATGGTATGCCAGAATCCTTGTTAACATACAGCCGCCAAGTTTTAGTGTATTTAGAATGACTACATTTCAAGAAATACAATATTAAAATATATGTCAGTGTGTTACATTATGGCTACATGGACGATTCTCCAAATATATAAATACAGCATGTTATGGCCAATATGTTTAATATGTTGGTCACACTGGAAACTAGGAGAACGAATGTACGTACTGTGGTCACTAGAAGACCCCACAGTGTGGTAAAAATGAATGTGACCACTCTGGCCATTGGAAAACTGGAATGTAGATACCACAGTGTGATGAGAATGAACACTGTGGCCACTAAGAGAATCATGAATTGGCACGGGCCCGTTGTTTGAAGTATGACCTGGGGGGTGTTTTATAAAGCTGTTCGTAAAGTCATGCGTAACTTTACGAACAGCTTTGTGAAACACCCCCAGAGTTGATTCGGAACACATCCAAAGTGGCAAAGTAAACTCGGCAACATTAGGTAAAGTTTATCAACCGTTATGCTGAGATATATGTATCAATGTATGTACCATTGTGTTTTAATTTTTTATTTCATTATAGGAATCTGGCGAGGAACAGTATTCGCAGTCTTTTTCGAAGTACTTTTGATGGTCTCCATCGTATGAAAACGCTGTAAGTATCTGCCTGTGAACTCAAATGTTAAGCGAGATGCAAACCTATAGGATATCACTTTATTATTAACAATATAGCTTCAAAGCTCTCACTCCCACGTTTTGACTTGGATGTATTTTCTCCTTTGATCTCAATGAAGTCCAGTTACACAAGACTCCGATAAAGCTTTATTGAGAGCAGGAAACATAGCTTCTACATTTGATTTGATTTCATACAGTAAAATCATTGTCTGTGCTTTGTAATTTGATTATTAGTAGAAGCGGCTTATGATAAATAGACTGCAATCTATTTGTATTAATCTCTTTTAGAAACCTTTCAGGAAATCCTCTCACAGTTGTCGAGGCGGGAGCATTCGGGAATCTTACCCTTCTTCAAGAATTGTGAGGACCGTAATTTGATTAAATACTACTTAACGTAAATTTATCCTAATGTAACCTATTTCTATCGATATAGTATTAAAATAATATAACAATTAGCATAAATAATTAGGTCTCATTAACCCAGGGGGCCAAATCATTATTTATACTGCTCTTCCTGTTGACTCTGCAATTTTCAATACCCCAGTTATTGCCAAGTAGCCATTAACACCTGGGTGGATAGTGGCAAATGTGGATTAATGTCTTGCGAAAGGACGTTAGATTCGGGCTTGGATTCGATTCTTCTACCAATGAAGAGCCAACTTGAAGTGAATCGACCACTATACCACAGCATATACATCGCAAATTATTACTTGGTTGACCGCGTTTATGTCTCCAAGATAGAATATTGCCATAATAATTACAAACGCTTACTACTTGTACACTAAAAACCTGTGTAACTTTCCAGAAATCAAATCAAAGGCAAGTTTAATACCTTATTGTGTACTCCATAGAAATCATGCTCTTATTACATAGTAATTACATAGTAAATACATAGTATTTACTTAGTAAATACATACTGAATGCGTAGTCTGGCATCATTATCGTGTTCGTATACGATTCAATAAGCGATGACCTAGGCTATATTGCAACTGCTTGAGGTTGACGTTTTGTCTTTTCGATCGTGTTAAACGAATAAACATGATGATTTTACGGATTTCTTTGCAGGGATCTTCGTGGGACCGCCATCACCGTTACAACAGACACGGGACGTGATGTGTTCCACGGATTGGGGAACCTACGGAAAATGTTCGTTTAAAAAAAAATCTAATATAAATAAACTAGTTAGACCGTACCATGATTGCACCAAAAAAAACAGAAATGATAAAACCAAGGAATTGAATGCGTTGTAGCCAATGATAATTTCATGTAACATTTTTGACAATTTGATAGCAGTTTGAAAAAAGTTTGGTCCCGAGGAAACTGTTTGGAAACGTCGAAAATTCGAGCTGTGACATAACATTTTTATTTGCTAAAGTGAATCAGGTACATGCCTCTTGGCTTATTATTTCTGTGCAATGCTTGTACATATGGCCCAGTCACATTCATACAACAAAACCTATCCGAAATCATTGGAGATCAAAGGCAATTCTGTATACGTAGCCTAAAAGATAAAGATATAGTTCGTGTTTGGATTTCTATAATAACGTTCCTTTCCCCCTGTATACTTATATTTTCATACTCCAGACTCTTCCAGAAACAGAGCTATTTTGTCATGTTACTAACTGCTTCTTCAGTAGACTGAAAATAAGCCAATATTCAACTAAAATTACTATTGTTATAGGAAACTGTTTACGCAAGAAAAGGTTACGTATCAGAATACTTTTGAGGTAATGGATGTAAGACTTGTCATCTTTCCTCATCATCTTTTGATTTTTACTTAAATGAAAGTTATAGTTAATAGTCAAAATTATCATAATAAACATGTACAAACAAGGATAATAATGCGATTATGAATTTGCTAAAGATGCCTCAATCTACTAGGGTCCTAGTAAATTTGACGTAGTTTTATTTCATGTTTACTATACTTGCAATACCTTTCAAGTCATCATGTTATTGATTCTAAACATAAACCATATATCATATTTATTTCAATAGACATGCTGATCGTTACGTCTTTTGTTGTCTCGCTGGATTGGTGGATTCGGTCGGATGCAATGCACCACGTGATCAATTCTCATCATGCGAAGAACTCATGGCCAATGGAGTTCTACGGATTTTCATCTGGATTCTAGGAGGCAGTGCTTTCATCGGAAACGGGTTCGTCTTCGCATACAGGGTATTCAACCAAAAGAAAGACAGAAAAACCATTGTTCAGTCCAGTTTCATCACGAATTTGGCCGTTTCTGATTTTATGATGGGTCTGTACATGATCACAATTGCATCTGCAGATATCTACTACAGAGGAAACTATGCCTTGCATGCTGATGAATGGCAGTCTAGCGCCCTCTGCAAGGTGGCGGGGATGCTTTCGGTCATATCAAGTGAGGCTTCTGTCATGTTTATCATGATGATCAGTGTTGACCGGTGTATTCACATCCTTCTCCCCTTCAAACAAGGACTCCATCTTTCTCCCACGGCTGCTCGATGTTCTCAGCTAATCATCTGGTGCATCGGGACTCTGGTTAGCGTCCTACCTGTGGTAATCCCAGCGTACAGCAAAGGTAACTTCTACGGACAGTCCGGGGTCTGTTTGGCCCTGCCTCTGACGGTTGATCGTCCTGCAGGATGGCATTACTCAATCTCCTTGTTCATTGGAGCCAATTTTGTAGCCTTCCTTGTGACTCTGCTCTGTTACCTGGCCATGTACATCCGCTATCAACAGTCCAAACAGATGCTTGCTCAGACAGGTAAAGGTTCCAGAGATGACAAAAGACTGACTGAAGATATCAAGTTGGCTTGGAAGATGTCACTGATTGTCGGAACGGATCTTATTTGCTGGTTCCCGATCATCGTCATGGGTCTCTTATCAGCGGCAGGGGAACTTACTATATCGGCTCAGGTGAATATACCCACAAAATTATATGTAACTATTACATTACATACACAAAACAAATTCAGAAACACTAACTGTTACTGTTTTCTGGCTGAGTGGAATGCAAATATCTCCTTTTCGGTAATGAGTGCATTTCTTTCATATATTACAGACTTTCCATGGTACGAGGCTGCAGATATAAGAAAGGTGTTCAATAAGTTATTTGGTTCCGGTAAAAATGATGCTCCAAAACTTTGACCTTGGTTCCATAATCACCATTCATTACCACAATCGAACACAGATTAATATATATTTGTTAAATTAAATTAGCAGATGAGCGAGTGCATTCAAATTTGTTTATTTATTTTCATACAAAATCATTGTTGAAATGTGATATTATTTTATTTTGCTCTCGGCTTGTCTCGGAGCTTGTCTTTCCATTGAATTCGATTATTCGATGATTGATCCTTAATTGCTGAAAGTGTCTTCTTCTCTTTTATTCTTTTGATAGGTGTATGCCTGGACTGCTGTTTTCGTCCTCCCTGTCAACTCGTCTCTCAACCCTTACCTCTATACACTCTCTAGTTTGCATGGGAAGAAACAGAAGGTCAAGAAATCTGCCGAGTCAGCTACAGAAGAAAATAAAACGATGGGTACGCCATATTGCGTTACTAAAACGTTTTGGCCAATCAACAATATTACGGAGACAGCCATTTTTGGAGGTGAACTTTACGATACAAGTTCTGCATGAACTATCAGTGATGGAATTGTGGTAAATGTTCACCGGATCCCAAGATCTCTGAATCTCTATCTCTCTTTACTCCGAGACTCTCTCTCAAAGAGTTTTCATTCAATACTTCACATAGGGTTTTCCAGCGTTTCATATTTGAATTTAATATCCACAAACGCGATTGCAAATACTTTCACACCATCAACCTAAGACAATATCAATATCCTTGTGCATCACCTGTTGCAATGTGCGAATATGACAGTGATATATTACGTAATATGATTTCTATAGGCAGTACAATAGTATATTGCAATTGCTCGTAAGTTGATTTCTTGAACGTCTATACAATCGTGTTCACATGTACGTAACTTTTTTTTAAATTCAACGCTCGTTGTCTCCTTTTTGTAAAATGTAGAGAGCAGCTTTGGGGATGGAGACGGCTGTTCTACGGCTGAAGCTACTAATCGGCCCGTCCTGGTAGCGCAGCACCTTGAACACTGGTTAAAAAGTGTATCTCGTGACTTGACCCGACAAGAACTTGAGGTCATCCGACGAGACATTAACCAATCACATGCTCTCTTGAGAAACGCTGGCAACACCGTGGATGGATGTTTAAAGAATATGTAGTTCACATAGTGAGTAAAGTACAGTATTATATCTAGAATTGTTGATATCATCAATTAATTAATCATCAGATTTTGATCAAGAATAGTGTGGTTTCACCTACTTTATGCTATTCTCCCACAAATTTATTTGAAGAAACAATGTCAATCTCTAACGAAGGCCTGCTTTGACATACTAGTAGAAAAATATCTTGTTTCCATTAAAACTGAGCAAAATTTAGTGCAATTTTCCATCATAAAATCCATCATCCTCTTGGCCATGCTAGTTGAGATAAATAAAATTCACCGTCGGCCTCTTGATTTCACATCCAAATTATACGATTATCGTAACTTCGATTTTGATATTTACAAAGTAAAATAGATAGTCACAATGACTTTGACTTTGAATAACCGTAAGAAAGTGATGATTTAAACAAAAATCCATAGAAAACTATTTGCTATCATTGTTGCGTGCGTAATTTTATTTATTCATTTTTAAAAAAAATTTTAATCAAACGCAGTCGACATTTTAAGTTTCTCTACATGAATCACGCATTGTAATGCTCCAAAGATGAGCCTGGAACCTCACGTCTTATAATATCATAAATTATAAAGTATACCCACATACATAAACCAACACAACATTAAAGATAAACTTGAGTTCTGGTTTTAAAAAAAAAATTCTCACAGAATCAAACGAAAGTTTATACACTGATTGTTCAAGATTACAAATAAATGTCATTTGCCAAACAACTTTGGTAGAAAATGTATACTGGCTGAGTAATGAGCATAGAAAGATAAGGAAATCAAGATACCAACACCATGTAAGTAGTCCCATATACATCTTTCTGTGTACAGTGCTTGTTACTACCAAGACTGGGCCAAATTTATTATGATTTTGATGACTTAGAACCTCGCAGTACACACCAATACTTACATGCTACATGATCATCTTTTTCTGATCCATTCCACATCTTTTCTTTCACTATGCAATCGCATGACCAGAACTCAACTTTATCTTTAACACACACACATAATTAAAATGCAAATTCTAGGCCTATAATCTTACTTGATATGGATAACACACATTGAGATATTTACATTATAATGAATACTAGGCTAACAATATCTCCTAATAAAAAGCACAACTTACCAATTCGTGTTATTTATATTGTAAAAAATTATCATTGTATTAATCATCATGACTGTTGATTTCAATTGATTTTCATTTCATAGGATGGAGCTAGTAGAATCCAGAAGGCCTTTGTGATTTTGGATCCTCCAACGTTCAATTTGAAATCGGATGAGCAATGCAACGATGTACCTAACCAGGCCGAAATCAATCTCTCTAAGATTATGGGGTTACTCCATGAAATACACGAGTTGAAGTATTAAATGTGTGTGTGTATATATATATATATATACACACACCAGAACATGGCTATAGCCCTCGAGACCGAAATCCCGACACACCGTCTAGCAGGAATTCAATACAAGAATTATCCGATTGTTCACGAGACCGGCGCACATCGAGACTGACAGCCCAAGAGACCGATACGTCAGTTTTGAGGTCCTTCTAACAATTTATTTACTGAAAGTTCTTGGGACAAGAATTTGTCATTACATCGTGGGCTTTTGGTCTTGTAAGCAGTTTATTTTTGAAGTCCTGACAAATGAAATATGTATATATATGATTAATTAACGGGGGTTCCCTCTATTATTTCCATTGTATCATGCTTTGGAGTCATGCACCCTTTAAAGGGACTTGTTACCATTGTTCACATGAGAAAAAGTGGTGCTAAGGTAGACACTTCAATGCTAGATGTACAATTAAAGATAATCTGAAACTGAAAGTCTGAGTTAAAACGGACCATTATTAATGAAAACCGATTGGGAAAACCTGATCTGATCGATTCCTGAATTCTCCCAACTACATTATTATAATTTAATTGAATTTATACGAATGTAAATCGTCACAAAGCAATGAATTGGCTCTATATACCATTCCAAACATTTGAGTGTTGAAACATTTTTTAAAGCCTGTTTTAAGTCTTGGAAAACGGTTGGAAAAATTAAAAAATTGGTTGGGATAAAAATACTGTTAGAGGGTGTACAGTGACGCCATAAAGAAAACCATAAATATCTTTGCGGTTTGAGAGTGTTTTCAGGATGTTTTGCATGTTAGAGGGTTAGTACGGTAGAAGGAATATAATAAGTAACATTTCATACACGAACTACGCAGTTTTTTCATCTACCTTCAACAATGTTAACGGTTCACTTTAAGAACAAATTATTCAAATAACGAAAAGAAAACAAATTGTATGCCATATTTCTTTATAATCATGCTTAATCTTGAAATGAAAATTTAAGTTAAAACTACAGTTAAAGACCGTGTGCATGAGGAGGCAAGGAGGGGAAAGACTCGCTAAGTCTTCATTTGTTTGGTACAATCTTTGAAAGATTGAGAATCGTGGTTTCCCTTCAAAGTTATAATTCATACATTGTTTGACCTTTTTTATAATCCTGTTGGAAAATTTAATAACTAATGGTAGCTGAGCAAAGAATGGTTGCTATTCTTTTCTGTGTAGTAGCAAATTTAGAAATATGGGGATTTTTTTAGTAGAGCAATTGTAAATATAATTGTCACTGATCTATCATCTCACTTGTGTTTTAGTAATGTTGTTGATTGTGAAACTAAACAAACATTTGATTTAAGCTGACAAAGAGTCATTGCATCTTTTGCATTATTTAGTGTATCATTTGATGTCAGAATCGGTTTCTAGTTTCTGATAGGCAATGATTGACCACTTGGATAAATTATTTGTTTACTACATGATAATAATAATAATATAATAAATATTCAGTTCTTGTATAGCGCATATCACATTATAACGTCTCTATGCGCTTCCAAAGAGCTTTGGAAATTATTACCCCGGCTTTAGCATGGCTGCCATTACGGCGCTCTAGCATTTCAAGGAATTAATTCCTGCCAGGTACCCATTGACCTTGATTTACATTGATTTATGGAATTATTAGATGTTTTATCGATGTATGTATTTGATTTATTATCGTTCGGGTAAGTGATCTAATGAATAAATGTTTGTTTTATTAACTGAATGGGTAACACATTCGTTGATTTTCATGATCGTCTAACGACGTGACTGGCAGTTGATACCTTTCTTTTATCGTGAATTAAATCGCACAGTTGCATTTCTTCTGTGTTTCAAATCCATTGCTGGTTTTATGGTATTAAACAACATTTAATACCAACATTATTAATCATATCGCAGCTACTATACAAAATATTCTCTTCTGTGCTTGAACAAGAGAAACTTTCCAAAATGCTTGTGTTATACTGTTTACGGGCTCAGTAACCTTCTATTGAATATCATGTCCAGTGATGATATGAATTGTGTATACGTTTATTATCAAATACTTGAAATGTGAACACTTTTTAAAGGAGGAAAAAAAAATCATTATTAAGTTCATTCATAGATAAATGTAATCTTTTGCTCTGTGTCGTGAGACTCTCGAACAAAATAACTTTGGTGTTTATTCATATGACTACTTTTATTGTATGAAGCTAGAATTCATTCTGTGTACATTTTTTTTGGTGATCTTATATTTCGTGACATCTTGATTGACTTTTTGCGTCACATGCCATAATTGTTTAAACTTCATGATACGGTCTTTGTTTTAGTCCAGTTTAAGAAAGCTAGCTATTAAAAATTATTCTTTAATGAAAAGATAAGATTTTGTCTGCATTGGTTATTTCATTAAATCACAAAGTAAGTTTCATAATATCATTTTATGGAATTCATTCTGGTATCACGCTGCAGTTGTGATTGGGGCTTTTTCTGATTTTCACTCTGTTGCCTTTTGAAATCATGTCAACTTACGTTTATCCATTGTTATATTCGAATATTATCAGGTATGACGTAGGAGACTACTAGTTTCGAAATTGCCTCACGGGTTGTACTTTCTACAGACTTTGCGATCACGTAGTGAGAGAATTTCTACAGATTATTATTTTCAATTAAAAACAATAGATCACTTATGGAAAAAGAATGAACATTTTAATAAATTAACCAAGAACCTGTAATAATAAATAGGCATTGCCTATAGGATTGCATTTACTTGACAATTTTCAAAGCGCTCCGCGCTAGACAATTTATTTCCAAAATTTCAATATCTATTTTTCGACAAAAAAGTGACGACCTCCTGCCTTTGCCTTCTATCCTTTATGATGTTGTTGCTGTTATTGCTGTTGCTGTTGTTGCTGTATGTTTTTTTCTTCTTTTCTTTGAGGGTATTTGTTCTTGTTCACTTAAAGGTATATACCAGTTCTGGTCATGCGATTGCTTTGTGAACGAAACGTTGTGGAGTCGATCGGAAAAGGTTGATATGTTGAAAAGTTTCGCCCAATATGTTGCATCTGCGTAGATGAAGGTCGCCAGAAAGACACTAGCAGTACGCGCTGGTCTGACGCGTGTTCATGCGCATGTTGGGATAAGTACGTGTTATTTGGGGCTTTTTTTTTGCTCGCCTCAGGTACAGCGCACGACCTCGATGCATGCGCTGCGCTGACAAACGTACCAATTTAGCGATCAGTCTGAACCAAAAGTTCACATTATACCAATCCATCAATTTTTATTTCTTATAAGCTTTTAAATATAACAAATAAATAATCACGTGAAAATATGATAAACAACTGAGTGCTAAAACTTCGAAAATATTAACATGAATGACATTGCGTTTGCATAAGCATTCGTTGCATGTGTATAAATGCGTAATCAAAATTGGGTAGATTACTGAGTTCTTCGCGACTCTAAAAAAAGCACTTATATTCATGAAAAAAGGCCCGAATTATATACAGCCAATAGGAAGGACGAATAAATAGGTCAAACAATGTACTCGTACTCTTCTCTTAGACATTTCCACTGGTTAATTTCCGCCACAAGAAACACTTCTATCCAATCAACAAAAAACATCTTGTCACTGTGGTTCTTTATCTTTTCCCATAGA